CTCTGTCAACGTCACAATATAAAGAATACATCCAATCCATCTTCCTCTTTGCCAGAGATCTTGACGGTAGCAACTTTCATGGGGAGGTCCCTCTTGGTATCTTTACCCTCACAAGCATTGATAAATTGTGAGTGGAGAGACAAACATACTTTTCCTTCTCAGTGCTCACCTTTCCTCGCTTCCCCATTGTTATCTTGCATTTTTCATGCCCTCAACTCCATGCATGCCCCTGTTACACTGTTTAGTTCCGTGCGTGCCCAATTGTCTTGTTTTTGTTAACGTTCCATTAGTTCCACCATCGACTTGCCATGCCAGGTGCAATATCATCGTATTTTTTCCAATTTTGGCCATAATTTTGGTTGTGTGAAACATGAACTTAGAATGCAAGCAATTGCTTACTCCATTTTTGCTTAGACCTTTTTTAGCCTTTATAACTAATTTCGAGGCACAAAACCTCCACAGTGTCGGTTTTGAAATGAGTTGTTTTCACTCGATGAGCCTTTTTACTTGAGCTCCTGCTGGTCTAGAAGCAAGTAGGCAAACTTCTGTGGCTGGGGGAGTTGTTAGTGTGTGGGGCCACCTAGGAAAAACGAGTCAATCAAAACTCAACTGTGATCGGGCTTTATTGGAAACTGGTTGCGATGTTCTTGACTGGTCAAGTTGGCTTCCCCAGGGCTTGAGCATATCTGGTGAAGTCGTATCTACCCGACCTGTCCCGACATTTTGCATAGGACAGGGGGGAAACTGGTGGGGTTGGGGGGTGCGTCAGTATTATCTAGTCGTGTCGGGTCTGCCTCAGTCTTAAAAATCCGTAAGGTAGGCAGATATTAGTGGCCCATTGGAACGGGCCGACCTGACATGTCATCGGGTCACAACAACACATCTCGGGTCGACCCGGCTTGATGGCAGACACCACGTGAGGGCTAGGCCAGGCGAGAGAATTAGAGTAAAGAGTAGTGACAAAAATGTGTGCGGAAAGGTTAGGTACCAGGAATGTGGTGAGGTGCGGTTGGGGGGCGATCAACTGATTGGGAGGTATTGGGCAACGTGAATACTCAAGTTAATTGTTGCTCAAATGACCGGGGCATTGCAGATTGGTCACTAAATTGCAGATCCGCAGAGACATTAAGTTTGAGTGGCAAAACGGTCGACCCAATTTGCCACAGATTCATACCAAGTCTGAGCCCCGCTCGATCTTTGCATTGCAAGTTCTTGCAAGCATGCTGTACTGCACACTTGCTCGCAGCGCATCGCTCTTTCTTTCGCCAGATTTCTCACCCTGCTTCTATCGATCCTCCACATTATCCTTCTTTCCCACCACTCTGTCTCTCTTTCCACCATTGTCCCTCCACATGGAACACCTGACAGAGGTTTGAATGACAAGCAGCTTAGTGGAAGTCTGCCCAGCTCATTAGTAACCAAAACTATCCGCACATTGTACGTTCATATGAGTTGAAGTGGACTAAGAACAGCGTGCGATGGGAAACACAGGCTGCTGACTTGAGCCTTCAGATAGGTCTTTTGGATGGGCATGCCATTGTCACCCAGTTTTGTCTTGATGAATTCGTAAGAAATGATCCCCAACAACTTGTTTGTGATGACAGGAACCTTGAAGGAAATGGATTTTTGGGACCTCTTCCCGACTTCGCACAATGGAGCACGTCTTTTGAATGCTTGTAAGTCTGGTACGGCCAGCACATTGGTACAAGGGAGAAGGTTTGAGATTGATACAAGTGTTTGTAGTATTTCAATATACGGTGTTCAGTTTCCTGGGCTTCTTGTTGATCACTATTTTCTCATCCCACCCACTCTAGGCTTCTAGGAGACAACAACTTAACAGGTTCCATACCACAATCAATCAGCATGCTGACTACACTCAACGTTATGTTAGCCATCTACCACTATCATGTGCCTTTATCATCACTATCTGTCAATATCTCCGTCACAGTCTTCGTCCATCATAAGTAACTATCTTTCATGCCTCAGGCTTGGAGACTCGAGGTCTGTGCAACACGTGGCCATGACGCAGCAAGGTCCTATCACTTGTAACAACGATCATCCTCCCTCTTGTGATTTTTCTTTTGTGTGACCCCTACAGTTCATTGGCCAACAACCAGCTATCAGGAAAGTTGCCTACATGTCTTACGACCCTCACCAACCTCGAGGCCATGTAGTTTGCATAAATTCTGACATGATTCAGTAAACATACTAACATGCTCCACCAGCACTCGCTGCTCTGTGGTTCCTCCACATATGATGTCCTTTTTTCTGGTTGACCTTTCATACTCATCATCTCGCCTCAATCACTCAGCATTGTTATTAAACATGCTCATACGATTCTCAATCATGCACCCCGGCACCTCAAGAGTTGTTTCTAAGCGCCAATGGTGCTGTGCCACGCATCCATCACTCTACAAACCCATCAGAGATTTGGCGGCAAATGGCATCTCAGGAACCTTACCCTCTGGCCTTGGGACCCTCTCCAACCTTCGTACCCTGAAATTAAATCATATCGTGAAGACTTTACCATGTGCCTACCATGCTATGCAAGGATGCCAATGTCAGAATCCCAACCACTAGACCAATGGGATAAAAGGGCTTGTTTCAGTAGCGGGTGAGTGCGCCCATAACCCCCCAGGCGAACGCGCCTGTAACCCTCTCCAGGATCAATCGGGCATCCACAGTGCAGATCTACTGACACCCCCCCACACTGGGAGGCCCAGGACTAAGCACAGCGGCAACGGCCTACATGTGCATACACCGGGAATCGAACCCGAGACCGCTCTGATACCATGTCAGAATCCCAACCACTAGACCATCGGGATAAAAGGGCTTGTTTCAGTAGCGGGTGAGTGCGCCCATAACCCCCCAGGCGAACGCGCCTGTAACCCTCTCTAGGATCAATTGGGCATCCACAGTGCAGATCTACTAACAGCCAATAGGCCAGGTCGAAAATATGTGACGAGCCAAGGGCTCGTGACCAGAGCCGACCATGTGAATTTCATTGCTGAACCAGTTTGACTCCAACCAAATGTCTGGATTGACCCTTCTTGTGCTCTCAATCTAATCCGTAGGCAGCTTGACCATTCCCTTTCAAAGTTTCCATTCTAGCAGATTATCCCATGAATCTTGGATCATGCCACACCTCTGTTGGTTAAATTAGCGAGCACAAAAACAAATGTAATGAAGAAACAAGGTCACTGTTAGGGAAAAGAGGGGGCTTCAAAAGAATGGATGGTGTACCACCATCATTTTTTTTACGAACTTAAAAGCGAGAGAAGCTTGCATTGGGTAATCTACGCTATGCAGTCTAATGAATGTACTCCCACCAACTTGGTTGCAATCAAAGCAGCTCTGGTCTATGCTTTTAAATTTGACCCTTGAGTTTCTTGAAGTGACTCTTTGAGGATATCTAAAAAAAACATAAGACCACATTATTGAACAAGCACTTTAAATTATCGAAGAAAAAACAAAGGCTTGGAATTAGGGAGTAATTACCTTGTATAACCTACCTATACAGCCAGATACTGTTAAAAATGCTGGTAGTGCTAGTAAAAAGCATAGTTTCATACAAGACTTTTCTATCATTACTTATGGCATAATCCACTTTTTGTTTGGGAAAGGAGACTGTCCGGTTCGACCCGTGGTTCGGTCAGCACCCTGGGATGGGGCAAAGGACCAGACCTGGACTTACATGACTATCTGCGCAGTTTGGCCATGTTCCTTCCAACCCGTGCCAATCAACCACTCGTCCGCAAAGATTTGGCATTTTCAATTGAACTGCCAGACTATGCCGATTAGATATTTTGATTGTCATTCTGCGCGGATTGGTAATTGTGACTGCCAACCCTTGCAGATCGACCGGCGCACATCACCACACTTCAACCGCCAGTCAACGAATAACCACCAACCTGCGCAGATTGTCCACCTCGACTGTCGACCCGTGCCTCTGACAATTTAATTTGGATATGATTTTGAACCAGCCCAATGGATAAGGAAACCCCGACAAATCAAGCCGGTCGACCTGAACCAAGACGAATAGCCCAACCCGACACAACACGGGTGGGATTGGGACCTGACACTAGTGATCCGTTTCTCATGCATACTCTAATGCTTCTACACGCTGGCAGGTCCGTGTCTGACAACCAGCTCACAGGAAGACTCCCTGCTTCAATATGTAACCTCACCAAGCTAGAACAAATGTACGTTCTTGTTGCCACTCCAATCCTGGTTGCATCGTTATGTAAAGGCGGCAACTGAGTCGCTCCAAATAAGTACTACTCCTGTTCTTGCTGCTCCTCCACATGCTCAGATGCTTTGCAGGTTCCCTTTCCAATAGCAATGATGTTTTGTTAATTGCACTGCATGTCTTCACTATTTCAGTTTTCTTCACAACAACTTTTTTGGGGAATTCCCGTCCTGCCTCTTTGAACACTGCTTGCACAAGATGTGAGTAATGTTTACTGATATTGCGTATGTGTATAATTTTTGGAGGTATGAAGGAGCATTGTTCTCAAATGGTTGCTAAGAATGTCGGACAAGTGGTTTTTGTTATATATATATATATAAAACATACAGAGCAGTTAACGTGAGCCAGAAAATCAACTGCGGTTCGCTTGGATGCGGTTCGGTTGGCATTGAGCAGTCAACGTGAGCCATAAAATCAAGTGCTGTCCAATTGGAGCCTTTTTACACAGTCTGTTTTGATTCCAACCAGTTTGATGTATTTGATTTCAGAGCCACGTCAAACCGAACCTGTTCATCGTCGATTTCTGTTACAGTCAGGTTCCTAGAACAATTGATAAACAAAGATGTTTGGTTCCATTGCAGCCCCCACACATCCCCTCGACAGCCCACCACAGCACAAAGAACCAACTGTAAACCCCCCAGCCCGTGGGCCTCAAATGATTCTCGTCAAGTAATAGTAGGGTTAGTGAAATTTTGACCAATTTTGCTTAACTCGACTCGACCTTGTAGGAACTATTTCACCACTGCAAAACATGGACAACGGGTCGACCTATCCCAACCCATCCCGAGCCTATCTGTGTGAATCAAGGATTTTGCCAGCTTTTTGCTTGGTTCAATTCAGCATGAACCAGCTAGAGCCACAACGTAGCCCACAGCTTGGGCCTTCGCCCAAGGCAAACAGCAAGTGCAAGCCAATGCTGTAATGCCGTCCACGCTTCTCTTTGCCACCCCTGTTTCCATTCATTCCAGTGACATCAGCAACAACAGCTTCTACGGCCCCATCAACAGCAACTTCCGCAGCATGATTCCTGACAACGGCGCTCTGCTCAACATCGCGGGCAACTTCTTCTATGGCGACCCCATGCTCTACGCCGATGGCTGCCAGTTCTGCCCCTCAGGAGGCATCCAGCCCCTTGTCTTGACATCAGCAGATCTCACGTTCCCCTCAGGTGGCCGATGTGCACCCTAGGGGTTGGGAGGATTTGTTCAGACAATACGCGCGGGAGCTAACAAGCGTGGAAAGGCGAGTCTGCGGCAGAACTGCTTCACATTGAACAAGCAGATGGAGTGCACGGCGAACGAGACGCAGCGCAGCAGTGACGAGTGCCTGGCATTCTGCAGCATGTCGCGCGAGCTGGGGCCGTGGGACGAGCACGGAGCGTGTGTGCCGCCGCAGGCGAGGGCAGCAGAGGCGCGCTTCACGTGTGAGTGCGACGACGGCTTCGTCCCCACCAACGGCACCCTCGGCTCCACCTGCGCCCGCCCTGCTCCGCCCCCTGCTGCAGGTGTGCTGCGTGATTACCTAAGAAGGGAAGGAGAATTTCCTGGTTTGAAAAGGTGGAGCTGGAAAGAATGTCAAACCAAGGAAAAACAGCTTTATGTGCAAGTGTTTCTGTTTATTGTAAAATGCTCGTCCTCCGTCTTAGATTATTTGCTCTTCCCCTTCCCTTCCACACCCTCCCCACCCCCCCACCCTCTCTCCAGCGCTCTCCATGGGCGCAGTGGTGGGCATTGCTGCTGCCTTTGCTCTCCTCCTCACTCTCGTTGTCGCGCTGCTCTGGCCTCGCCAACACAGTGAGCCACCGCCCCTCCCTCCGAACTGTCATTTCCATCACATACATGCTCAGATTGCGTTTCCAAGTCCAAACTCCAAGGAAGTATGCCCTTGCGAGTCAAAATCCACACGGAGGTGTCCCGGGAAGGGTACAGAGAGCACTGCATTGGACACCATGAGAGGCAATGTCAAGCGAGCCAATCTAACAAACGGTTACCTCACCACTCCCCCCTGTCGCGTTCAGTGAGCCGAGGACTTGAAGGGTTGCAAAATTATCGGCGGAAAAGCCCATTTTGGAAGTGCAAAGCCAAAGCAACACATACCAAATCCGCCAACAATCCCTCCACCGTTTTGGAGTGGGAGTGGAATCCAGATTCTGCCCCATCTTCTCAATTCACAACGGGTGATCAACACAACTAGGACCTTGGCATTTACATAACAATCAGCTGAGTGTTCGACACGATCTCTTGAGGAAACGACATCGAGTGGTCGCATGTCCAAACAATGTGCCGCCTTGTCCGCACTTGGGAACATCTGGGGGAAAAGTGCAAACTATGGAAGAATTTTATTAGCGTTGAATTTTTTTAACACTTTGTCATGGAAAATGCACTGTAACTTGGTTGGTCCACAACAATATATTTTTTGGCAGGTTTCATTCAAAGTCATTCGGGTTACCAGTCCGCAATCTGTCTGACGTACAAAAACCGGTGTCCTCGGCATTATGCATGAGCAACCTGAACATGTTCGAATTGCCCAGAACACTTTGTATGGAATCAGTGTTCGAGCATTCGCCTTTGTAGGCGACCAAATTGTGATAGATTCAAAATAACAGAGTGGAATGCAACATGTGCAGATTGCGAACTTTGCACGTTTGGCAGAATTCGAGAGTGCTGGGCGGACATTGTGCAATGCAAACTGCAACTCCCTATACCGAATAGCACACCCAAACTGAGCAGATTTGTGTTGTTCAGCACTTACCTGCCCAGCTAGCACTCCCAAGTGTTTCCCCCCTCACACTTACTGTTAAACAACATTCTTGCGAGAGTATGAAGATTTGAACAGGTATCCGAATTTATTTGAGGCAAACAGAATAGGTTTGAGTCACCCATTTCCCATTCACGCCTAGAAGAGGATACTCCAGGATTGAGAAATTTATGGGGTTCAACTAGATATAGAAGATCGCATGTCAAACGTGTTCAAGTGGTAAGGGTTTGCCTTTGTTTCCATGCCTACGGTGGTGTGAAAATAAAAACACTATCTACCTCACCAAGGAGCCTGGCTTTCACAGCCGGACCAAGCACACTGAGGTCTGCCACCGTCTTCCTGGTGAGTTGCACAAAAATGGGTATCCCAAATCCGAGCACGTTGTTGTCCTTGTTACCAAGTCCCTCGGCCATGAAGACCAAGACTGTCAGCTTACCTTAATGGAGCGTCACTTTCTATGGTTGGTATTTTCCAACCAGGCCAAGCGCGTGTATCAGAAATAGGCTGCTAGCATTGGTATACTCTAAAGAAAGAAACATCTGTCGTAACTTGTTAGCCTAACCCTATCTGGTTTGGATTGCCCTCATAATACAACCAGTCTTCCCATTAAAGATTCGGTTGGGATTCCACCCTTTCCGTTCATCTGTTCAACCCAGTTCATCTATTTATTTATTTGTTTATTTATTTATTTATTTATTTATATATTTATTACTTAAGGTCAATTGTTTTCCTTCTTGATCAATCGGTTCAAGGATTTAGTCTAAAACATTATTATTCCCTGTAGGTTCTACTCTACCCCTATATGACGGACGCAGCCACACAAAATAGAGCTGCACAAGATGATTGAACCCAAAGATTTGATTCACCTAGCTATTAGTGACAATTCCTGGTATGGAATATCTCAGCGGAATTGGGCGACGGAGAGTCGACGGCCCGTCGACCTGACCGCCGAGCAGAAAAAACCAAAACCCCCTCGAATAGCATGTCTTATGAGGGAGGCATCAACCCTAAACACCATGCGACAAGATTTTTAGGGTTGATGCCTCCCTGACCGGATGCCTTCACGACGGGGTTTTTTTTTTTTTTTTTGCCGCCGGGCAGCGAGGTCCGCTGGGCGGGCTCGCTTGTCCATTGAGGTATTTCATGAGGTATTCCTCACTCGCCCTTTAAGGTACTAATACTGCTAAGGGCTTGGGCCGATTCTCCAGTGCCCAAGCCAGCATGGCCCAACCCGTGCTAATGAATGCCTTTTGTCTCTGATGTGTCCCCTGTGTGGCAGGAAAATGGAGCGACCTGGACGTGTGTCAGGAGTTCAGCATGGGGGAGATTCTGCGGGCAACAGACAACTGGGCAGAGGAGCGTGTGCTGGGGAAGGGGGGCTTTGCTACCCTCTACAAGGGGGTATCCAGCAAGGGTGAGCTGTGGGCCATCAAGCGCAATGAGCCCATGTCCAACGACTTCGAGAAGGAGGTAAGCCAGGGAAACACGAGCACCGTGTTTTAAGTCAACTCAAAGCACGACTCATTACATGTGGATTATATGTGGAGAATTATTCTTGTTGCATGGCATATTGGTTGTTACCAAGGTTACTGGTACGCGCACAACTTTTGAAGTTGCCGCCTGGCGTAGTTGCGAATTGGAATTTCAACGAAGACGCTCCAAGAATCAATAACATGGCCACCTGAGAGCTTTCAAGGGTTTTTCTGTCGATAGCCTAGAGATCAGTTTTTTTATGAGGCTTCGTTTTTTCTTGAAGCATAGGTTAGATCAGCATTTTTCATTAGCACTGATGAAGGCCTGCTAGGGTCACCCCTTCAACGGCCCAAACATGCTTGTTTTACTCTACTGCTGAAGTTATTGAGCTCGGATTTTGTTGAGATCTAAGTAGTACAGAAGGGTTTTACTGTCCATCTTTTGCATTAAGCCTGACTTAGTGTGCAGCTTGCTGAGAATTGTGTCACAAGACTGGGAGGGAAACACGTGCACAGTGGGGGCTTGGAGTGACATTGGTGGCGTTGAGATCCTTGAGTGAACTGGTTCTTTGTACCACCGGACCATGCTAGGAGCTGCACTTAACAGATTTCATTCCTGCAAATGGTGGTCCACATTAGGATGTGATTATATAGAAACTCCTCTTGGTGGTCCTGGCGCGAGGTCTGCCTGCCTTCTACCAGCAATAAGCTGCCCAGTGTGGACGATGGAGTCGTAGCAGCATGAAAACACTCACTTAACCCCCTTTTGTTTTGCAACAACACTTTGTAAGCCTCTCTCATCCATCCCCCCTCTCCCTGCCACCTGCAAGTGCAGGCGAAGCCGTCGCTGCGGCATGAAATCGTTCCAGTAACCCCCTCTTTTGTTCTCCTATAACCCACCATCAATCTCCCCTCCCCACTTCCCCCCCACTGCCATCTGCAGGTGTGGGCGATGGCGTCGTTGCGGCATAGAAACGTTGCTTTAATCCCCTTGTTTTTCCTCCTTTAACCCACTTCACCTCTGGCAAGTGCGGGCGATGGCGTCGCTGCGGCATGAGAACGTTCCTTTTAACGTTTCTTTTTTTGTTCTCCTTCAACCTCTCGTGCCACTGGCAGGTGCGGGCGATGGCGTCGCTGCGACATGAGCACGTGGTGCGCCTGTTAGGCTTCTGCCTACATCAGAACATGGAGAGCGGCCAGCAGGAGCAGATCCTCGTCTACGAGTTTGTGCCCAACAGGGACCTTAGCTACCACATCCGTGACTCCAAAAGTAAGTCCCTCCCTCCAGACATTCCCAGCAAATAAAATAGTGTCTTCCTAAACTTGTACCACCAGGGCCTTCGACTACCACATCCATGATTCTAAGAGTACGCTCCCATGCTTGTACTTTTCAATTTGTTCATTTGTGTAATCAGAACAGTGGTTCATACGCTAGTTGTTCTTTGCTTACATTTCATTCCTCGGAACAGGCTATAGCTTGCTCTGCTATTCATGGTAGACTGGCTTGACATTCTTCCCAGGACCGGTCAGAATTCTGCTGGTACCGATCCAGAGGGGCCGGGACGATTATATCCAGCCGGGTAGGTTATATCTAGCCGGGTCAGCTTCACCCGTGACCGGAGAATCTGTCAAGTTAACAGGTAATGGCACCCCGTCGCAACACGTCTACCCGACCTGTCATCGGGTCACAACAACGGAACTCGGTTCAGTCAACCTGTCTAGACAGCAGGCCCTAGAGTTGGTATGGTGACACAGAGGAGTAAAGATAAAACGGAGCTGGAGCAAATCCTCTCAACACGGTCCTTGAAGAGGTCAGGGTGCTGAGGGGGAGAAAGGCCCGTGCGGTGCGCGGAGTGGTGAAAACCGGACTGTGCGATTTATGGAGCGAGGTTGACGGAGATTGGTTGGGAAGGTATGTATTGGGGGATGTTTTGTGGAAGAAAAATAATTACCACACGATCTGGCAAGGACCGTATAAAGGTTCACAATGGCACATAGTGTGCCATGACCAGTAATATGTTTCATGCAAAAAGTATTTTACACACACGTGCTATTGCCCACACCTTTCTCGTGGAGTCACAGTTGAGTGTTCATTTACTGTACCGAGTTTGATCGACTCGGATCGGTTGGGTATTTATTCCTCACCTCCTCCTCTCTCATCTCGTCGTTCCACACCAAAACACTATTTTTTCACCTCTTTCTAAAGGCATTCCAATGCTTGCAACTCAATTTGCATCCCTTGATTCTCACCTTCATTCTCACCTTCATTCTCAGCTTCTCTCTTCACATATACTTCCTTTCTCCTCAGCCCCCTTATCCCTGCAGCAGCGGCTGCAACTGGCGGTGGGGGCAGCAGAGGGAGTGGCGTATCTGTACAGCTTCGCGACGCCCATCGTGCACCGCGACCTCAAGCCCGGCAACATCCTCGTCACACAAGACTATCAGGTGGGGCTGGCTGTGGGGAGAGCGAAAGCAGTACAAGCAGGTAAAACAATGACGTGAAGCCTAGCCTGGCAATATCCGCATAACACATAACTACCATGTGAGGGATGGCCGTTCGGAGAATGGTGGCATTACAATTCGCTCAAGAGATATCACTGCAGAGCGCATGGCCTAAACCACAGTAAGTTGATGCTTTTAAGGCTAATGAGATTACCCAGAGATCCTGGTTTTATAAGTTACTTCATGGGTATATGGATGCAATGACTGTCCCACAAGACCTGCATGCCTTTCTTACACTGTTGATTAGCGCACTGGTATTCTAGAGCGGTCTGGAGTTTGATTATCAGTGTCTACCATCTCCCTTGGCAAGTTCAGCTATTGCAGGTAACTATTGCTCATAGGATTGCTGAGATGACCCAGAGATTCTGAAGGGGCAAACGACTATGTACACATCACCCAGCCATCCTGAAAGCTTTGAATCTTGAAAAGAACATGCACATCTTGATCCTGTTTGTCAAGGGACTGCTGTTCCCATCAAAGTATCAAGGCGGTCGTAGGTTAACCTGAGTGTGACTGAATCTCGTACCTTTCTACCATCGTGGGTGTGTGTTGCTCATAAGGGCAACTGTGATGACCCACATATTTTGAAAGGGCCGTAGGTACTGTCTTGGGAGGTATGGGTGCTCTGACCTACGAACACCAACATGTTATCGTAACACAACTGTTCAGCATACCGTTGATTCAAGCACAACATGTCATGTAAATGTCATTGCATCCAATCCCACCAATAACTCCTCCATTCATACATACGATACGACTGGTACTTTGTACATTTAATTTAAAATGTTCATGCCTATGTACTTGTGTGTGTGTGTGTGTGTGTGTGTGTGTATGTGTGTGTGTGTATGTGTGTGTGTATGTGTGTATGTGTGTGTGTGTGTATGTGTGGGCGCGCACGCGTACGCGCATGCATGCACGTGCATGTGTGTGTGTGCGTGTATGTGTGTGTATGTGTGTATATGTGTATGTGTGTGTGTGTGTGTGTGTGTACGCGTGGGAAGGGAGGATATGGGTATGTGTATGGTGGGTGTGTGGATGGCTCGGGTGGGACTGTTTGGGTTTCTTTTGTGTCAATGTGGGTGTGGTTGTGGCTGCATGTGCGTGTCTGTGCGCATGTACTCAGGCTAAAATAGCAGACTTTGGTTTACTTAAGAAGCTGAGCCAAGCAGGAGAGCACGAAGATCGGACGCGAATAGCTGGAACTCCAGGCTATGTGGATCCAGATTACAATCGTTCCAGCGTGGTGACCGAAAGGTCCGATGTATACAGGTGGGCAATATTTTGGCCGGCTTAATAGTTATCATTCCCTTTCATTCCATCGTTGGAGTATTAAACGTTCTATGCAGGATATTGAGAATATTGAGACCTTGTTCCGGTTAAACCTATCTACTTATTCTCTCCCCTCTTTATTCTCTGCGTTCAACCCTTATTTGCAGCTTTGGTGTCGTGCTGCTAGAGCTCTTGACTATGCAGAGGACCCATATGAGAGATGGAACCTACCAACATATTTGAGAATGGGTGAGTGTATGGGAGAAAGTTTGGCTCTCTAGCTAAAATACTTCAGGAACCCTTGCTATTTCTCACCTTACATACTGAGGCTCTTATGCCCTCCCTTGCTCTCACCGTGGTTAGTTTCCCTCCACCAACAGCTACAGTTATGGCTCCCAAACCTCTCTGCCCTGCCCCCCCCCCCACCTCACCCACCCATCCTCCACTCCCCTGTCAGAACATTATAGCTTATGCTTTTGTGTAGGCTGTAGTGGGGTAGCCCATATGGGGTACAACCCAATTAGGGTTAGTACTTGTACCCAACTCTTTCATACTGCATTCATTCTCGTTCAACTTCTCTCATGGTATCGAGCAAGTTCCCCTGTGGGAACTGCGCCTAGGGCCCACCACTTCGACTTTTTTTACTGCCCGAAGCGCGCTCATCCCGAGTCGCGCCTCGGGCTGTTAACTCGACGAGCCGCCCTAGCGGCCTTCCCTCCCCTAGCGGCCCTGCCGCCCTACTGTCGCGGCCCCGCCGCCCCTGATTCGCGGCCTTGCCGCCCTGCTTTCCCGGCCCCGCCGCCCTACTTTAGCGGCCCCGCCGCCCTACACCTAGCGGCCCCGCCACCCTACACTTCGCGGCCCCGCCGCCCTGCTTTATCGGCCCCGCCGCCCTACACCTCGCGGCCCCGCCGCCCTGCTTTAGCGGCCCCGCCGCCCTACACCTCGCGGCCCCGCCGCCCTGCTTTCTCGGCCCCGCCGCCCTTCATTTCGCGGCCCCGCCGCCCTGCTTTAGCGGCCCCGCCGCCCTTCCTTAGCGGCCCCGTCGCCCTGCTTTAGCGGCCCCGCCGCCCTGCTTCAGTGGCCCCGCCGCCCTACACTTCGCGGCCCCGCCGCCCTACAACTCGCGGCCCCACCGCCCTTCATTTCGCGGCCCCGCCGCCCTACACCTCGCTGCCCCGCCGCCCCACTTCGCGGCCCCGCCGCCCGACTCTACCGGCCCCGCCGCCCTTCTGCTACGGCCCCGCCGCCCTGCACGTGGGGCCCCGCCACCCGTCTGCTGCGGCCCTGCCACTCTCCTCTCCTGCCCGCCACCCGAGCCGCCGACCGCAGCACCACCCTACGGCGTGCACCCGAGCAGCCGACCGCCGCGCCGCCGAGTACCGGAGGAGCCGGGCCGCCCACCAGCCGAGCCGCCGTTCAGCCGAGCCGCCCAGCAGCCGAGCGCCGAGCCGCCGAGCCGCCCAGCCGCCGAGCCGCCCAGCAGCCGAGCCGCCCTACTACCGAGCCGCCCGACCTGCCCTGTCCGGTGAGCGCAGCCCCACTGTCACTGCGTGCCCTTCCCCTACTGCTTGCACTGCTAGTCTATCGTCGTCATGGCTACCCCTAGTGTCCTCACTTTTGACGCTAAGGGTCGAGCCATTGACTTTGAGGTCTGGGTCGACGACCTGCAGCTGTTTTTACAGTGCGATAGGGCGGACGGTCTTTCTCTCTTTGACCTCACCTCTGGCGCCTCTCCTGCCCCTGCTACTGACGCTGACCCCACTGTTCGCTCTCAGTGGGCCACCCGCGATGCTGCTGCACGTCTTGTTGTGCGTCGCCACTTACCTACCACTGAGCGCGCGCACTTTAGTCAGTACAAGAGTGCTCAGACCTTGTACGACGCTGTAGTTGCGCGCTACTCTTCTCCTGCCACTGCTGCACTGAGCCGCCTCATGCTACCGTACCTCTTTCCTGACCTTGCTGCCTTTCCCACAGTCGCCGACCTCATAACGCACCTCCGCACTAGTGACACTCGCTACTGCGCCGCACTTCCTGCTGAGTTCTGCGCCAAGAACCCTCCCCCCATGTACATCGCTCTCTATTACATAGTCACACGCCTCCCTGACTCCCTTCGCGTAGTCAGGGACCACTTTCTCTCAGTCTGTCCCACCACTCTCACGGTTGACCTCCTCGAGAAGGCCCTCCTGGCGGCGGAGAAGAGCATCGTCGCTGTAGGAGCCTCTCGGGGTGACCCTCGCACCCCCATCTTTGAGGGGTGTTCTCCTTCCCCCCTGCTGCCCTCTGTTGCCTCTGCTGCTGCTGCCGACCTGCTTGGTCTTGAGTCGGTCGGCGCGGCGTCTTCACCTAGCGGAAGACGCCGACCTGGCAAGGGCAAGGGGGGCAAGGGAGCTGGTGGAGCTGGCGGGGGTGGTGGAGGTGGCGGTGGAGGCGGCGGAGGGAGTGGGGGTGGCGGTGGGAGTGGTGGCGGGGGTGGTGGTGGTGGTGGCGGCAGCGGAGGCGGAGGCGGTGGCGGCGGCAGCGGTGGGAGCGGA